AATAAGTTGATTCAAGAAAACCCATTCATTACAATAAGTTGATTCAATATATAGTGTGAAAACCCATTCATTACAATAAGTTGATTCAATATATAGTGTGAAAACCCATTCATTACAATAAGTTGATTCAATATATAGTGTGAAACCCATTCATTACAATAAGTTGATTCAATATATAGTGTGAAACCCATTCATTACTAAAGAAATGAAAACCCATTCATTACTATAGAAATGAAAACTTATTCATTACAATAAGTTGATTCAATATATTGTGTGAAAACTTATTCATTACAATAAGTTGATTCAATATATTGTGTGAAAACTTATTCATTACAATAAGTTGATTCAATATATTGTGTGAAAACCCATTCATTACAATAAGTTGATTCAATATATTGTGTGAAAACTTATTCATTACAATAAGTTGATTCAATATATTGTGTGAAAACTTTACATACTTGATGTTAAACAAATGTTTAAACAGCTATATTCAAGTCTTTATTGTGAGTGTAAAACACTTAAATACACCATTTCGAACATGATTCTATATGTTTTATATATTGGGTCGGACGTAGGATGGTGGTTGATCAACTGGTCAACTCCCACAGTGGTCAGAGTTGGCAAAAGATGCTGCCTTCCCTCTACTCTTATCACATTAAAACTAAGGACGAATACGCGAAGATAGCCCTTTAGGTAGTTTTGATCAACTGGTCAACTCCCACAGTGGTCAGAGTTGGCAGAAGATGCTGCCTTCCCTCTACTCTTATCACATTAAAACTAAGGACGAATACGCGAAGATAGCCCTTTAGGTAGTTTTGTGCGAAAATACTAAAACATATTGCAAGGTACCAGTTTTGTATCTTTAATAATGTACATTGTACAGACAAAAGAAATCAAAAATCAACCGTACAGACTTTGAAAGTGGCGAGATAAATCGTTGACCTCCTTTTAGTCTTCACCCAATGAAATCAGTCCTTCAGAGTTCCCAACACATATAAGCAAGTCTACGTTTTTCTCAGGACTTTTGTTTGAAGGTATATTAAAGGTATATTAGTTTAAGCATCATCTTTCTAAAGGAAATTTGTTCTAGAAATACTGAGAAGAGATTGTGTGTTTGACTTTCGCTTCCTGTTTTCAAAATAGACCGGAATTGTGTGTTTGACTTCCGCTTCCTGTTTTCAAAATAGACCGGAAAATAAAAAGTCACGAATAATTCCAGCATTGATTATTTTTTCTGTTTCACACGCTCGCGCAGTCATATAATGACGGCTCCAGCTTTTCTTAACAGGGACCGGGGGGGGGGGGGAAGGCAATGAGACTTATAATGGAGCCAAATTTAAAACAAGTCTAGGATTAGATTAATTGACGGAATTAGCTTAAGAGGCAGTGAACGACGTTTCGGGGGGACTTCCTCCCTGCTAGCACCGATCCTGTATAAACAGTAATACGTATGTATGATAATTTGATTGTACCTCGATTATCTGTTTTTTTGACGGTATCATTGTGTACTGTTTCGTGATCATGTGCAACTATTGTTGTGTACTGTTTGATAATTAAGTGCGACTATTATTATGTACTGTTTGATAATTAAGTGCGACTATTATTGTGTACTGTTTTATAATTATGTGCGACTATTGTTATGTACTGTTTTATAATTAACTGCGACTATTGTTGTGTACTGTTTGATAATTAAGTGCGACTATTATTGTGTACTGTTTTATAATTATGTGCGACTATTGTTATGTACTGTTTTATAATTAACTGCGACTATTGTTATGTACTGTTTTATAATTAACTGCGACTATTGTTGTGTACTGTTTTATAATTAAGTGCGACTATTGTTGTGTACTGTTTGATAATTAAGTGCGACTATTGTTGTGTACTGTTTTATAATTATGTGCGACTATTGTTATGTACTGTTTTATAATTAAGTGCTACTATTATTGTGTACTGTTTTATAATTAAGTGCTACTATCATTGTGTACTGTTTTATAATTAAGTGCGACTATCATTATGTACTGTTTTATAATTATGTGCGACTATTGTTGTGTACTGTTTGATAATTATGTGCGACTATTGTTGTGTACTGTTTTATAATTATGTGCGACTATTGTTGTGTACTGTTTATAATTATGTGCGACTATTATTGTGTACTGTTTTATAATTAAGTGCGACTATTGTTGTGTACTGTTTTATAATTAACTGCGACTAATGTTATGTACTGTTTTATAATTAAGTGCGACTATTGTTGTGTACAGTTTTATAATTAAGTGCGACTATTGTTGTGTACTGCTTTATAATTAAGTGCAACTATCATTGTGTACTGTTTGATAATTATGTGCGACTATTATTGTGTACTGTTTGATAATTATGTGCGGCTATTGTTGTATACTGTTTGATAGTTAGGTGCGACTATTGTTGTGTACTGTTTTATAATTATGTGCGACTGTTATTGTCTACTGTTTTATAATTATGTGCGACTATTGTTGTGTACTGTTTGATAATTGTGTGCGACTATTGTTGTGTATAAAAATGGTTAATGTATTTAGAAGACGATTCACTCTCTCTTATGATATTTTCAACCAGACTGGCATGTTTACTGTTTCAACCAGTTTGAAGAATGAGACACATTTGACAAGAGTGATGGAAAATTGGAATCTGACAGGGAGGTTTGGAATTGTGGCTCATCGGTAAGTCTGTGGGCTTATAAAACACAGCGCAGATAGCTTATTATGTAGCTTTGTCCTTAATAACAGACAAAATACATAAAGAATAATGTATCACTTCGGTATTAAGCGATAAGACTCGTCAGCAGTGGTGTACTTATTAATTACTTTTTGGAACTTTTTTTACTAATATCTGGTTGGCCAATGGTCAAACAATTTGATTGTAACCAAGCAACCTGGAAAGTCCTTTTTTTAACAGCCATTTGGACTCGTGTCCTCTTCCATTCAGTGTTACACAATCTTATTGTCTATTTCAAGTGTACATCACAGCCAATTTTAATACAATATCTTTCAGGGTTTTTAGGGCTGTGCATGACCTAGTGATTAGAATATAGGGCTGCATATCGAAAAGTCTAGGGTTCGAGACGTAATACAGCCGAACATGATCCGATTTCAGTTGTGGGGGCTCTGTGAAAGTGGCAGTTAAATAATCGTTGTTAGGTTTAAAGAGCCGAGCAAAGAAAGTTCTTGTGGTGGCGACTGGTTGCCATTTTTCCAGCAAGTTGTTCAAAACCAGAGGCGACTTCTCCAGAAACCTAGAGATTTCTGTCCTGACCATTTAACCCACATGCAAATGGTGCTGCAAAAGTTTCAGTTACAAGGGTTTTTATTGTAATGAATGGGTTTTCACACAGTATCTTGAATCAATTTATTGTAATGAATCCAGCTGCCCAGTGTCGGCTAACAATACGAAGAATTAAATTGTGGCGGAATGCTACAAGTTCTTCAAAAACCTATAGAATGATAGGTTTCTTTTTTGTGAGTGTAAAACACTTAAATACACCAGTTCGATATGATGATCGTTACTTTTGATTTCTCAATAATATGTAGTCACATGGGCAGCAGATTAAAATACACTATGTCATATTAATCTTACATCTTTACAAGGGACGTAAGCCAGCTTGGTGGGATGATGTGATTCACACCATGAGAGGTTATTAAGAAGTACAAATGGAAAATTTACTTACAGACAACAATGCGAAGTTATTGAGAAGTATAAATGAAAAATGTACTTACAGAGAACAATGCGAAGTTATTGAGAAGTATAAATGAAAAATGTACTTACAGACAACAATGCGAAGTTATTGAGAAGTATAAATGGAAAATGTACTTACAGAGAGCAATGCGAAGTTATTAAGAAGTATAAATGGAAAATGTACTTACAGAGAACAATGCGAAGTTATTAAGAAGTACAAATGAAACGTGTGCTTACAGTGAAGAATGCGAAGATATTAACAAGTACAAATGTAAAATGTACTTACAGAGAACAATGCGAAGTTATTAAAAAGTACAAACGGAGCACGTACTTACAGAGAGCAATGCGAAGTTATTAAGAAGTACAAATGTAAAATGTACTTACAGAGAACAATGCGAAGACATTAAAAAGTACAAACGGAGCATGTACTTACAGAAAACAATGCGAAGTTATTAAGAAGTACAAATGAAACGTGTGCTTACAGTGAAGAATGCGAAGATATTAACAAGTACAAATGGAACATGTGCTTACAATGAATATAATTTGAATTGTTGTGAATTTCGCGCAGAGCTACACGAGAGCTAATTTAGCAGTGAAAGACTAGAGGGAAGACAGCTAGCTGGTCAGCACCACCCACCGCCAACTCTTGGGCTACTCTTTTACCAACGAATAGTGGGATTGACCATCACATTATAACGTCCCCACGGCTGAAAGGTCGAGCATGTTTGGTGGGACGGAGGATTCGAACCCGCGACCGGAACATAACTTGAAGTTCTGAAGTACATTTTGAAAACATTTCGTTTACCAGTGTTGTAGTCAAAGTGGTGAAGTTCTGAAGTACATTTTGAAAACATTTCGATTACCGGTGTTGTAGACAAAGTGGTGAAGTTCTGAAGTACATTTTGAAAACATTTCGATTATCAGTGTTGTAGACAAAGTGGTGAAGTTCTGAAGTACATTTTAAAAACATTTATTACCAGTGTTGTAGACAAAGTGGTGAAGTTCTGAAGTACGTTTTGAAAACATTTCGATTACCGGTGTTGAAGACAAAGTGGTGAAGTTCTGAAGTACATTTTGAAAACATTTCGATTACCAGTGTTGTATAGAAAGTTCTGAAGTACATTTTGAAAACATTGAGAAAGTGGTGAAAATGATTTAATAACAAGAATAACGTTCGTTTTTAGTTCACTCTCCACAAGATCCAGACTTACAAGTAAAAATTTTGTTTTATTTTATTTTGTTTTGTCACGAATTCGTTTTAGGAATAAATTTTCTTGTCACTCGTGCAGCTTCAAAAATAGATTAACTAACGTGTGTTAAACGTAAATATTCAATATACGTACAAGAAGAAAATCAAAATCGTTCCTATTTAACGAATTCAGTCGGCCTGATGAAACGAAAATGTAATAGGACGATACGCTGATTTTGCAAAATAGAATTTAACCCCAAAACACGAGAAAAATCTTTAACTTGTTGTTTTTATAACAAAATCCAATCAAAAAAAGTTTTTAGAGGTTAGATAACAACTGAATCTCGATCTTCGAAAGAACACATGTAGTTAATTTTAACAACAGCAGTATTATTATTTGTGTACAAATTTCAACGCAAAGTTGAAATCCTTATTCAACATTCTGACTTTTGGAATATTAAGAATGTGTACATATCTTGTTTTTGTAAAAACACAAAAAAAACAACAACTAACATTCCATAGTTGAATTACATTTTGTGTGCCCCCCCCCCCAGTGGCACAGCGGTATGTCTGCGGACTTACAACGCTAGAAACCGGGTTTCGATACCCGTGGTGGGCAGGGCACAGATAGCCCATTGTTTAGCTTTGTGCTTAACTTCAAACAAACATTTTAATGGCTGGAGACGGCTTGAATGGGTAATGAAGACAAACTTTAATATAAGTTT